CGACGGGCGACGCGGAAAAGCGCCGCCGCGCGGGTGGTCGCGCGGGCCAAGCGCCGCGTCCGCCGCGCGGTGCAGCGCCGCAGCCAACGAAAGGCCCCCGGGGTGGATGGTTTGGCCCCTTTGGGAGGGATTGTTCCCCCCTTTTTCAGGGATTGCCCCCTCCTTCGCCGGTATTTTCCCCTCCTTCCCTCGTATTGGCCTCTCGTTGGGGGGTAGTGTCCCCTCCTTCCCTCGTATTGCCCTCCCTTTCTCGTGTATTGGCCTCTCTTTGGGAGGGATTGTTCCCCCTTTTTCAGGGATTGCCCCCCCCTCCGCGGGGTCCGCTCTGGGGCGTTTGGCGGGGGGCATCGACGCCGAGAAGTCCCCGCCCCCCCCCTCGCGAAGGCGAAGGCGGAGGGCGGCGAGCGAGGGCGAGAGGGCGGCCCCGCCCGCCTTCGTTGACTGGCCGTTATGAACATTCCTATTCCTAGTAGTAGTCGTAGTAGTATGAGGTTGATTCTTATTCCTATTAGTAGTAGTAGTACAAGGTTGATTCGTATTCCTATTAGTACTATTGGGATTGGGGTTTGCGGGGGAATCACGGGCCCCCCTCCCCCCCCCCGGGGAGTTCGCCGTCGCCGGGGTTCAGGCGGGCGGGCCATGGAGAGAAAAAGGGGGTGCGCGTTCGCGGCGTCGACCGCGGCGCGGACGAGTTTAGGCGGGGGTCGACACCGCAGAAGTTTGGCCGCCCCGCGAGGCCGGGGGGAGGGCAGCTGCCGCGCGAGAAGATCAGCCCGCTTCGCGAGAAGGCCGTCCAAAACCCGCCCCGCGCTCAAATCGGCGTCGTTCGGGGCCATCGCTGGTGCAGAATCCGCGATGGCGAGTGTGTCGCATACGGGGCCAGGCCCGCCTTTGCTAGAAAAATAAACTAAAAAAAAAGCTCAAACCGGTCGGTGAAAAGTGGAATTGAACGGAGAAAAGGGCATTATGCACTACGCGCCCGGACTAAGATGGGTTGTCCTAGCGCGGGCGGAAGATGGTGGGGCCAGCGGTTTCGTGGCTTCCCCGTTATTGTTGTTGTTGGTGGTGGTGGTGGTGGGTTTTAATAAACGTGTGATTATAACTGCCCATCCATCCGCTCTCCGCATGGCGCGAATTACGCCGCCTGAAGGCGCAGTGGTTAGCGGCCCTCCCATGCCCCTTAGACCGATACCGTCAGCACCTCGACGAAGGTGAGCGTCGCGCCATCGCACAGCATCTCCTCCATCGCCGTTTGCCGACGGACGAGCGCCTTTCCCTGGCGTCTTTCGCGGCCCCCCTCCCGGCGAAGTTCGCGGCTTTTCTCGAGCAGCCCCGCCCCGGACGACGGCGTCGTCAGGAACCACATCGGTGGGGTGGAGGCCGGCGAGACCGCCGGCCCGGGCGGGAATACCAGCCACACGAGGACGACTTCGCTGCCGAAGCGCTGGGAG